AAAATGAAATGAAAAGATATGGTTTAAAGTAGAAAATCAATACAAGTATAGTTACAGTCAGTTTCATTCTGAATTATCGAATAATCTGTTTGTATGAATTTGGCCCGGTTCCAATTCCATTTAGTGATGGTGCCTTTGGATCAGGAACTAGAACTATTTTAGTTGTTGTTTGTGTTGTTGTATTTGTGTGAATGATCTTTTGTTTTTTAACTACATTCTCGGGAACTTTTTGTCGATTTTCTTTTGTTTCGTTCCCTTTATCGGTAATAGCTCTCTGATTTGTATATCTAAAAAAGAAGAAGTGAATTTCAGATAGAAAACTGGAATAGAGCATGCACAAAACAAAGAAGCAAGCATAGAAAAAGCCGTTTTTTTAACCAAGTTCAAGTGAGTAATCGAATTCATGTAATTAACGATCATCAATTCTAAGAGCACAAAAATATTGACAAAAAATGTAATTTATTCTATTACCTTTTGAGCGATGTGATATTTCATTTTATATTCTTCTACTTGTTGAATAGTCCATTGTTGCTCAATAACATCAGCTAGTTTAGTAATAGCTAAACATTTAGTAATATCATAGGTATGATCATATAAATACTCATTAAATGTGTAAGCAACTGCTTTTAATAATGACCATTGAGCTGAAACAGATTTGTACGGTCGATAAATACATGAACAAAATGGTCCATCAATATCATCATATTGAAGATAATGGTAACAACATATTTGATGGATAAATGTTTGATTATACCATATTTTGAATTCTTGTTGAATGTCACTTAATCGACATTGGTTTATCTGATTGATTGTAAACAGTTCATGTGATAGAAATGGTTTTAATTTATGCATCAGATTACCGCCCCATGTCTGAACTAAATTGGATGAATGAAAGATAATGGAGAAAAACTGGCAAAGTGTATCATAAAGTAGTGTTCTCTTGTCTTTCTCATGTGAATAATCAATTGAAACGAGAATTGTTGCTGTTTGTTGGATAAGTTCAATATGCATGGACATTGTATCATATTCAGTTGATTTGTATTTGGGCACAATTGTAAATCTTTCTGTTTGTTTCGCTTCTGTAATTATTTCATGTAACATGGATGGAGATGCGTCTCGATGAATAAAATATACGACATAAGGTTTTATCGTTAATAAACGTGGTAGTTGAGATATATTTCGAATCATATCTTCTATATCGGATAGATTTTCTTCATTTGATAATTCCATTGACGTTTGACTCTGTGTTTGATAATTATGATGAATCTTGATTTTCTTGTATGTTTCTTGTAAGTTCATCACATCCAATTGTAGAAGAAATACCAACGAATAAGTAGATGATTTGTCTCGCTATATCGTGGTTACAGAGGTTCTCTGTTTGGATTTCGATCTAGAATAGAGAAAAGAACAAAAAAAAGTTATATTCATACTTGTTATTTAGTGAATAAATGTGTTTTTATCCTAAGATACCATGCACAAAAATAAGTAGAAAAAAAAAAAGAATTAATTTGCTTTGTATTGAACCAAAAGAGTATTCGATAAAAAACAATGTTTGGAATTGAGAATAATTTTTAATCCATGTTTGAGAAATCTTGGATCTTTGTTGATTGTTCGGGTCCAGTGTGGATAAAAGTATTGATTAAATTCATGTCTAGAACCCCAATCATATAAATAATACAATTCGACCAATTGATGTTTGTTTTCTAATTCTTGTCGTTCTTCCAGATGAACGTTTTTTTGACGAAAATGACGAAGCATTTGAATACGAAGTGAAGTGTATGTTCCTCGATTCAGATCCATCGGTTGCTCACCGGAAGAAGGATTCAATCGTATTAAAAATTGTTTGAGTTGATCTTGGACAAAAGCCAACGAATAACCATTGGCCAGAAATGTTATTTCAATGTGAACACGTTCTTCTTCGAAATCCTCGTAACAAACACAATAGAGACCAGCACGTATTAAAGCAAAACGAAACCATTGTCTATGACCTAATCTTGGATGATGAGCAATATATGGTAATAAGAATGGTTGTATTGTTGGATCATGATACATATAAGTATATAAATTACCATTTTTATTTTCCAGAGTAGCACTAAGAAAATTGACATTAAGACCAAGAGATGTTGATATTTCTATATTCGGATGTTGTTGTTTGAGTTCGTTAAAAGTTGTTTGTAGGTTATCCATGTTAACTTCAGAGCATGTCATAATACCTTTATTCTGATATCGACCATAAAATTCATTTGCCACACGTATTTGTCTAACTAAAGGTAGTTGCCAATACTGTAAGTAAATATTACATAATAACTCTGTCAGTGGCATATTCAATGGAAGTCCTTTTAAATATCGATAGATTTTTCCATTGTAAGTAAAAATAAGTTTCGATAAAACGAATCTTGTTAATTCTTCAACAGCTTCACTGGTTAATCGTTGATGACGTTGACCTTGATGGACTGGCGTAACTAGAAGTTGATTTAATGCTGTAAGAATATCTTCATGTGAAATTGCCGAATATAAATGATGAATTTCAAATGTGACAAAATTTGTCCTTGGTAGTAGATTATCTTTTTGAATACAATAGTGTTGAGTTTTTTGTATGAAATCAGCTCCATTGAGAAATGTAGTGGATTGAGAAGTTTTTTCGTACAATGGCCGAAGAAGTTGATGAAGAAAAGTTGCTAATGTTTGTATTGGAGCGTTTTTACATGACGCAAGTCGAGGTTGTAATGTAATATGACCATCTGGATGCGTTTCTGGTAAGAAATAAAGATAGGGTAAAATAATATTTGGCTTGTTGCCAACTTGAAATTTAGTCAAGTAATTTGTAGGAATTAATTTCTTTCGTTCCAATTGATTCAAATCGAAATCGATCGATTTCATAATATTGTTTAATTGTTTTTGTACATTTTGAATGTCATCAATAATACCAAGCATTTCAAAATTGTGTGTATTTGCTAGATAATGATTCGCTAGACTATTGAATTCATGGCGATCAGCAAGATAATAGACATTGTTTTCATCGGCGGTACGTCTTAAAAGAAGTTGATCGTGT